CCCTCAGAGCCCCCCCTGAGCCCCTCACAGCCCCTCCAGATCCCCTCCCAGCCCTTCACAGCCCCCTCTGAGCTCCTCACAGCCCCCCAGAACCCCTCCCAGCCGCCCAGAGCCCTTCACAGCCCCCCCCGAGCCCTTCACAGCCCCCCCAGGGCCCCTCCCAGCCCCCCAAACCCACCTGGGGGTCCCGGGGGGCGTGCTGGGAGCCCAGCAGCAGCAGGGGCAGGTTGCTGGGCAGCCCGAGGCGCTGGAAGTACCAGACCAGGTTCCAGTAGATGATGGGGTGGCTGTCCACGAGCTCGGGCCGGGCCAGCAGCTCGGCGCCCTCGTTCTCCACCAGGCTCTCGAGCTCCTTGCGCAGCACCAGCGGGCTCAGGTACGCGAAGGCCACGCGCTCGCAGCGCCCCGGGGGCTGCGGGGACACCCCCAAATCAGAGGGGAGGGACCCCCCTCCCCAGGCCTGGAATGGAGCAAGAACTGGGAATGGGGGGGCACCCCCAAATCAGAGGGGAGAGACGCCCCAGGGACCCCCCTGCCCAGCCCTGGAATGGACTGGGAGCTGGGAACTGGGGGGGGCACCCCCAAATCAGAGGGGAGGGACCACCCCAGGAACCCCACCTTGCACGGCCCTGGAATGGACTGGGAGCTGGGGATAGGGGGGCACCCCAAAATCAGAGGGGAGGGACCCCCCCAGGAACCCCACCTTGCACGGCCCTGGAACAGACTGGGATCTGGGAATTGGGGGGGACCCCCAAATTGTGGTGCTGAGGGACCCCCTGGAATGGACTGGAATCTGGGAATGGGGGGCACCCCAAACTATGGGGATGAGGGACCCCCTGCCTGGCCCTGGAATGGTCTGGGATATGGGAATGGGGGGGGACACACCCGGGACCCCCTGCCCACCCCAGAACCACCATCAAGGACCCCCGGTGACCCCAAATCCCCTCCCAACCCCACATTTCATGGACGAGGGACCCCCCCGCCCATTCCCAGCCCCCCCGGACCCCCAGCCCGGGCCCCCCCGGTACCGGGGTCTCGCTGCAGCCGTTGCAGAGCTCGGGGGTCTCGTCCAGCTCCAGGCAGCGCCGGCGGTCGCTGAGCACCGGCCCCCGCGGGGAGGGGGGCACCGGGCCGGCCCCGGGGGGGCTGCGGGGCACAAGGGGGGGTCACGGGGATGGGGGGCACCGGGGGGCCCCCAAAGCATGGATGGATGGATGGGGGGAACGGAGGGGGGCAAAGAGGGGTGTGGGGACACCTTGGGGACATGGGGAGGGTGGTGTGACACCGGGGTGTCCCCAGACAGGACGGGGGTCCCTGAGGGTGTCCCAGGGGGTCCCAGGGGTGGCACTTGGGGACATGGAGAGGGTGGTGTGACACTGGTGTGTCCCCACAGAGGATGG